AGTGTGTGTGTGTGTGTGTGTGTGTGTGTGTGTGTGTGTGTGTGTGTGTGTGTGTGTGTGTGTGTGTGTGTGTGTGTGTGTGTGTGTGTAGAGAGCAATGTCGGGTTCATCCCCAGGTCTGGGTCAGTCACGCTCGTAAAGGGGGGAGTGGTTTCAAGAAATGGCTCATTTGTGAGGTCGTGGGGTGAGGGGTCAGAGGTAAAGGGGGCGGTGTCAAGAGTGAAAACACTGACCAGGGCGAGGAGTTCGACAAAGTTCAAAGTCGTAACTCACAACATTACAACCTCTCTCCGTCTCTTTGCCCCATGCTGCGTTCATTTGTCCCTCACATGCTGCTGTTTTATTCCTGCGGGCTTTGATTTTCTGTTACACCAAGATGTTCAATAAATCTCTTTTATTTTACCATATTTTTTTATCTATTTCCTCCAATAAAACCTCCTAATATGCCTCTGAATGTCTCATTCAATCTTATGCCTGCACAACATCTGCTTTTTAGTGCTGGTGTGGTACTAGTTGCCGTTAATACCCGCTGATTTTATTTGCGCCACAGATATATATCTATTATAGCAATCGTAGCCTTTTTACAGATCGATTTGCAACTAACAGTAGAGCGATGTAATGATGATGTACTTTTGTAAGCCAACCTGGAAGTTAGCATTGCTCTGACTCCTTTAATCAAAATGCAATGAGATTTTTCTAATGGATTTTGGATTATTGCAGAACAATAGCTCAGTTTTGTGATACTAATATTTAAAATGCTGGTTGGTTTGAGTTTCGTTAAGTCAGCACTAGAATACGTTACATTTTTCATGCTATGGACTTGACAGAAGTTTTTGTAGTTTGTTTCCCCGTAGTTTTTGGCGTTATGTCTATTTGATTTTGTCAAAGACACTTTATTCAAGTTAGCAGCAAACCTTCATGCGTGCTAACACTGTTGATCTTTGATGTTACACCTAATTACAGTATGTCTGACGTTTTCCCTGTGTGCACTTTTGTTGATATGTTTGAATCACAATCTTTATTTATTGCAAATCAATTGTTGTTGCATATTATACCTGAGTAGTATTACCCACACCACAGCAGCCTGTAATTAGCCGCTAAATAGTATCAACAGGTAGCAAACAGAGCATTCATAAAAAACATGTTATAAAATTGAACCTTGGGAGAAGATGTTCTGTTCAACCCAGAAAACCTTCAGCATTGTGACATAAGAGTTATAGCCTTGTGTGCGGAGCTGCAGAGTGAACATCTTCCAGTTAAAATGCTGTCAAGTGGCCTCGTTTCTGTACTTTTTTTGTAGGTTAGTAGGTTATATCTCATTCGTTCTCCAGCTCAATTTACAGAGTACTCAGGGAATATCTCAGACTGAGAATATTAAACAGGACATCTTTCGTAATAGACACTTTTTCTGCATTTCAAATGGTGTTATTCACACTGTAAAATGCTCTATTTTCGGCAGTATAAATATAATCAGATATAAGTAATGGATGCTGCATGCTGTTCTGTTTTTTGGTTCCCCTCTTCGAAAGCATGAAGCTGACCCTCAGAGAGTTGCTTTCACAGAAACCTGAGCGTATAAATACAGATTTGTCTGTCATCGGTGAATCATCTGCAGCCCTGAACGCAGCAAAGCTTCCTGGTGTGTTTCAATCAGCTGATGTTGCCAGGCAACAAACACAGTTTTATCCTGTTGGCAGGACTTTGTGGCAGATATCTGGTTGCAACACGAGTCCAAGTCTTAATGACATGATCCGGTCCAGATGCTGGCAGAAATGATCCCATTTCCTTCACAACAATAACGAAAAAAAGTGTGGGTGAGATAAAGTAAACCTCAAATGATTTCTGCAGGAAATCTTTTGTTTAACTACTTATTGTTGCAATAAGGAATATTTACAGCAATATAGTAATCAATGCAACTTAAAGGGGACCTATCATGCAGAATGCACTTTTTGATGTCTTTTATACATAAATATGTGTCCCCGGTGTGTCGGGGAACTCACGCAGCGTCAGAAAATAAACCCTCTCTCTTTTCCTCCGTACCCAAATCTCTAAAAACGGGGCTACAACGGAGCTGATTCAGATTTGCGTCCGATATGACGTAATATCTGAAATGTGGACCCACGGCCCTATCAGAAACGTTGCTATCAGAAACAATGCCCGACTGTTTAGGACGTAATATGGTCGGTGTTTACATTAGCATCGCTAACACTCTGAGCTAACCTGTACTGGAGAGCATGTGCGTGAAGAATCAGGAAGTAAAAAGGAACTCACCTTGTGGTATAACCAGCAAGAGAGAAAGCCTTTGAGATCCATACTGTTTCAGAAATAATCCTTGATAATCCATGATATGGCGTTTCATCACGGCAGTGTTTAGTTTAGACAGTAGCTGCCGGGTCCCGCATGAGCTCAGCCCCCTCCTTTTGAATTTTTTATCAAAAATGTAAATGTAAAGCTTAATGGCCAAAATCAGCACTTTTGAAACAGGAAGTGAAATAGAGGGATATGAGGCATGGCTAGAATGGGTGATCTGTTTGGTATTAGGAGCAAAACACTTCATAGACATGTTTTTTATATATTTGTATATATCTGAGACCTATGCTATTGCCTAAAAATAGCATGATAGGTGACCTTTAACTAAGCCCTGCGAAGGCCTTGCATGCAGCAGCGTCAAGGTCAACAAAAACACAAATTAGAAAGAAACACACAGCTAATAAATTCAAAGGTATTTTAATTTAAATCCATATTTGAAATGGTCAATACATTATTAAATAACAATAACTATTTAAAACAAAACTGAAAAAGTAATGGAGCTGGGATTCTAGATGGGGGATCTAAATGATAAACTAAAGTATAGTTCAAGCCATCGAAACAAAAGAGTTTTAAACAAAGAAAAACATCAAATGTATTTCTTAGGATTGAATTCATCTTTTTGTTTTGCCAGATATTTCTCAAGCTGCAGCTCCTCCTGGATTGTGTCGGACAAGGCTGTGTACATATGTATTTTAATATTCACTATGCATTATGTCAAGTATACTTCATATTGTCATGTTACGAATACACTGCATACTCACAACATGCTCATCGTGTGAAGTATTGAGTTCATATATAATATTTAAGTTGTGGGAAAAAAGTCCTGACTTCCCATCAGGCATCCCAGATGTTTTAGAAACTAGTGACGACATGTGGAGTTTCCCTTACTGTGTGTGTGTGTGTGTGTGTGTGTGTGTGTGTGTGTGTGTGTGTGTGTGTGTGTGTGTGTGTGTGTGTGTGTGTGTGTGTGTGTGTGTGTGTGTGTGTGTAGGTCAGTGTGTTTGAGTGTAAGGTCTGTCTACGATCCGTGTAACAGGCTGATTAGGGTTTTATGAGGTTAGAGGTCAACAGGAGCAGGAGGAAGAGTGAACTTGTGACCTCGGTGTCAAACAGAGGAGAAACTGTCCTGACCCGACACTCTCACGTTTACTGTCTCACTTCCACTTGAATTGATGTCGTCATCCCTCCTCCTCCTCCTCCTCCTCCTCCTCCTCGTCTTCTTCTTCCTTTCTGTGATGTTTGGGAATTGTATCACACATTCATTCGATTATATTTGGGTTTTGTGGAGTGGAATTCAAGTTGTTTCCTGCAGTTAAAAGGAGAAGAATGTTTTTAGGTCATGGAAATGCTGTGCAGGAGTCGTGGGATTTTTTCAAACCTGGGCCACAGTGAGATTCTTGCTATCTAAGGAATGAGGTTGTGATTATTTTTTTAAAGTTGTCTCATCTGAAACCGAGCGAACACAGCTGCTGTTTTTCTTTCTTAATAGACTCTCCATATATTGCTTATCGATCAAACAAATAATAATAGTTAAGTGACTTTCAGCTTTGATTCCTGGTGTCCACGGGCTCTTAAAAATTATTAAAGTTGATAAATCAATTTAGCGAAAATGAAGGCTATTAAAAAGTATTAAACGGCATTTTCCAAGGTATTACATTTTGTAGCTTGTTTTCAATAAGTATATAAATTGTCCAAAGAGGTTGTATTCTACAGTCTGCCTGAATGTAATCATTGCGTAGGTGTGTAGTGTGATTCTGTGTAGTTTATTTATTCCAAACTATTCCCCACATTACATTCTGTTTTTTGAATACTTTTGTACTTAAAGCAGGACTTTTGCTTGTAATGGAGTATTTGTAACTTTGCTTCTTCTTGAGTAAAATACTTCTCTCTCTTTGTACATAAAACACAACATCAGCTTTTGTAGCGTGGCACTATTGCTTCTGGCTTCTCTCTCTGTAAACATGCTCCACTTTGAAATCCCTCTGTATTTTATTCCTCAGTTTTATAATATAATCCCTCCCTCTCTCTTTTCTGCCTCTCCTGAACCCGTTGAACTGCCTCCCGCCGCACCCTTTCTCCCCACTCACTTCCTGTTTAGAAGAACACTCAGAGGATTGTTCCTGCAGCCGGGGGCAACGAGGCCTTGATGTAGAGCAGCCACCATCAGCTGGAAGCTGCCACATAAAACTACAATTATACAAAAAACTGTGTCTGTGCATGCACACCAACGTGAATAAAGCAAAACGCTTATGAGAGATGAGAGACTTTAAGGAAACATGAGGAGACAATGCCTTTTGACACATTGAAGCTGGTATAATAGGTTTAACAAACAACAGTTTTGTGTTGCACTGCAGGAGGAGCCTGTGACCTAAGATTTTCATCGTCATAACTACACTGTCGCTATGTTCATATGACCAATAAAAGCCTTGAACCTTGAAGTGTTAAGTGTTGAAACTTTGCCTGTAACTCATCTTTAACACATATATATTGGATGATAATGTTTTGCTAAATTGCCTCTTATATCAGGGTGTCCGCGGGGCGTTTTCCAAGGTATTTCATTTTGTAGCTTGTTTTCAATAAGTATATAAATGGTCCAAAGAGGTTGTATTCTACAGTGTGCCTGAATGTAATCATTGCGTAGGTCTGTAGTGTGATTCTGTGTAGTTTATTTATGGCATCCCGTTGGATTTGACGTCATCTGAACAGGACATCGCACGTCATGCTTGATAGCGCGCGAAGGTCCGTTTACGCCGGTTGTTAAACAACATCGTTATGGGGAAATGCAAGCTTGCGTCCAAATGGTTGGATGATAAGGAGGAAGGACAATCAATACTGTATATAGTCAATGTGAGGTGAAGTGTGTCGCCAAGGTAACCGGTTAGAACTCAAAGTGGCGATGAGGTCTTAAAATGTATGGAAAGGGTCTTAAAAAAGGTCTTAAAAGGGATTACATCTGACTTCAGGATTCCTGCATATACCCTGTATATAAAAACATACCTCAAGTTTATTTATTCAAATAGCACATTTCATTCAAACATGCATTCCCAAAGTGCTTCAAGATAAAACAATAAATAACATTATGCAAGACTAAAAGTTACAACAATAAACATAGCATATCGTTTTTTGGTGGAGCATTTAACTTTGACTTTACCAAATGTCACACGTTTTAATATTTGTAATTAAATGTGGCCATAACAGATCCTTAATTTATATATATATATGTTGTAATCTAAATGAGTGTATATGTGACTGGCCTAACATATGTATCTATTATATAAACTGCGATAAACATACACTTTGTAAAATTCAAAAATGAAATAAAATGTGTCTGATCTCCCGTTACAGGCGGAGCGTCGGGCGTACATAGAGGCAGAGATGAACATAATGGACGCCCAATCAGAAGCCATCTTTCAGAAAGAGGAGGGGCCATCAAGCCCGGCCCCGCCCCCTTCACAACAACACACCGCCCCCGCCTCGCCAACAGTTGCCGTGACGCCAGAGCCCGGCAACAGGGTGGAGCGGGCCACGCCTCGAGAGATGGAGTACCAGGTGAGAGATTAATATTAATAAATATTCATACAGGACTTTTTGAACTAAATACTGTACGTCCCCAATTAGGACATGGAACATATTAACCTATTACAACAATATAACATGCATATGAACACGTTACAATCGTATTAAAATGCATAAGAGTTAGCCGGACACAAATGTCTAAACCTTCGTGTCCCACAATATTTAATTTAATATAAAATGTATGAATTAGTGCCATCAAGTTGTTATCATGTGCACACAAGAAGAAAAATATATAGTTTCGGGAGTTCAGTTTCATAGAAATAAAAAATGTTTTCACTGCTTTACTTTAATTGATAACAGCATAATTATACATCTTGAAATTGTATAGCATTTCTTTAAAACAATATTTACAAAGTGCTTGAAACACAATCAAACCCAGAGGCAGCAACAATACAAAAGGTCATCAGAAGGAAAACATGTGCCACTTAACACACGATAAACAAAGATTAAAATAAGAGTGATTCACATAAAAGCCTTTTTATAACATTGCTTTTAAGCTGTGCTCAAATCAACTGTGAAGACATTGAAAAATGTCAAGGCTAAGAAATGTTAGATTCAACACTTTGTATGAGATTGTGCTTACATAACATGTCCTTTATTACATTTAACCTGTTGTGGAAACATTTCTTGATCAAATTGATATGAAACAAATGAGATAAATATCGCTGTGTCACATCGGGACTTTAACCCTAAACTTTCACAGTGACATATATGCACAATCAGAAATGTGATTATGATCTGCTCAGTTAATTTAGCTGATTCAATTATATTGAGTTGATATATTCTTTATTCTTCAATTCAAAGAATGTTCAAACTAATTTAAACCAAAACATCATCCTCGTTAATTAAGTTATAAATAAGAGTTATTTTACCATTAAAGCCAAATGGGACATATGTGTCCCATTTCAGATATGTGACACTGGGGGGTGGTTCTTGTCAGAAATGTGTTCTAGGTGGTCTGTTTAGTCTAATGGCACATTTCCACTGCAGCGGGGTAGCCCCGTTTAAGCGTCCCTAAGCGTCTTCGCTCAGGCCTCGGGCTGCCTCGTCCCAGGCCGTGGCGCATTTCCATTACAGTTTAGGACCTGGGGCAGCAACGCAGTGTGGGCGGGGCATCTGTGCAGAGACATCCTGGAACACTTTCACATTTCGAGTTGTTCCGTCGAGCTCCCGCTGGATTTTATCATCCCCAATGAGATGTAGGAACGTCGTCACCTCTTCGGTCGACCACGGTGTGCTTTTCTTTGACGTCGCCATTTTTGTAGCTTCTCCGTTTACAAAAATGCTGTGTATAAAAATGCTGCAAGACGATTCTCTCTGACCAATCAGCAGTCGAGAGTGTTGCCGTCACTAGTTCAGCCCTGGCCTGATAGAACCACGATTTTTATG